CAGTAAGCATGGAGCTCCCTCATTAGCTTGGCCTTCCGCTGGAAAGGCTAGATTGGATCAGGTCTGTCATCTGACCCAGCCTACACACCCACAGTTCCAGCAACCGGCATCTGTTATTATTTATAAATATTCATTATTTTGTTGCTGTAAGTTGGTAATAAATGAATCCAGGAGATTCTTGCTCTCAGCCAAAATCATGTATAATTTATTTCTATAGATCAAAAAGAGATCAGATGCGTTAATTAGGAATGTATAGTAGTACTGGTAGGCAGGGGTAACTTAGCTGTTCACTTTGTTCCCAGTCTTTATGTTAAGCTAATGGGCTTGGAGATACATATAGTTCAACACATTGCACGGCTCCTTTAATAATAATGAGCTCACAAATTGATTTTTCTGGTCCACATGTCCTCCATCTTTTCTTCCCAAAAGGCAAAAGGGTTTCATTTGATGAATGAAGCTAACAGAAACAAAGCAACTGCGCTGCTGGAGGAGGATTTTCCACTACCTGGCAACTCAATCACTGTCCTTGTGAATGGCTTATAATTAATCGACCTAGCTTTAACAGGCCAAAGTGTGCAAAACAGTCAATACACTCACCAGAAAGCATGCTTTATATAAAGTATCACTGAATTATGTTGGTGTGAGAGGAGACAATGAAGCCGGATGTCACATTAAAGTAATTACTGAAAGCCACGTTTAATCTCGGAGGGTTTCGTTGTGTTTTTCTGCCACAGGACCAGAAGTGACAGGTGTCATTGACCCAGAGGATAACTTCCACAAGGTTACAACTTCCCACCAGGCTCCAACAGACCAGGAATATATATAGATATATAGATGTATAGTAGGTCAAATGATCCATACATACATACCTTGGCGTGAGAAGTCGGTATTCTGGTGAGCAGCAGGAATTGAAACATTCCTAGAATAACTTGTAGCATAATCCCCATTGTGCAGGAGTCCAAGGGGCACGCAAAAAATATTTTTTGGACCAATCCAAAAAAAGAAGCTGGCTTGTCCTCCTTGCGTCGCCTCCGTGTCCGAATAAAGGCGCAGATATCCCGCTTTCACTCTCCAGTCTCCCTTCCCTGAAAGGACTCCCAGGGTGGCATCATCGGGGTCGTAACAATAACTTTATTGTGTCGCATTTTAGCTCTAATGATTTAGGACTCAGTTCTCTATATGAACTCTATGACAGTTAAATCCTCTATTAGTGAGACACTGTAGACTGAAATGACCTTCCCTGCACAAACTATGGCTTTCTTATAATGTTGAATGTGGCACCAAAGCAGCCAAATCCTTATCCTTTTTCCAGAAACTTGAAAGAACTTTAAAGTGATGCTTTCCTGTAGTGATTATGAGCACAGTCCGCCTCTTGGTTCGGCTCCCATGAAACCGGTCCGGGGGGTCCGGGGTGGCGTTACTGGGGGATTACACAGGCTACAGATTCCCGCTTAAACGTGGTGCGATCATCAAATCCTGTGTGTCTGAAGAAAGAAATCGCATCATCCAGCTATAGGACGTTAATCCGGAAAAGATCCGACGCCCTGGCCCGACGCGCGGAGGGTATGTGCCGCATATTCCTCTCCCCGGCTCGGTCACAGTCTCACCACACCGTCGCTCCTACTGAAAATGTGACGTTTCCCCTCCAGGCGCATCTTCCCGTTTTTTTCCCACTCCCCTTATAAATAAACCCAGAATAACATCCTCGGCTGCTGTGGCAGACAGCGTGACTACAGCAGAGCAGTCAGAGCGAAGATACAGGCAGGTCTGGAAAGGTAGACCTTCATTTGTTGCTGTGATCGGTTTCCTCGCTTCTGTTTGCCCTTGAGACGCACGCAGCGTAACCATTGCGCTGCCAACTTTTTCCAGACAGGATAGGCGCACTGCACACAGGTGGAGTGTCTCTATTGGTCCCACAGCGGGGGGGTCAGGGGGCCTCCAGGGGCCTCTTGTAAGTGGGGAGTATGATTGAGGACACCAAGGTCGTGTCAGTGGCAGGGGACATATTTTAGTATTTACATGTGAATATGGAGGCTAAACAATAAGGGGATTACATTTTTAGAAAATGGTGATTGTTGTGCGCATCAGTTGAGGCATTTTTCTTTTAAAGGGGGCCAGCTGTCCACTGGCTTTCTTACTTATCCATAAGAAAGACTGTGATTTAAAGATGCCATCTTATAACATGTAGTCCTATGAGAGTATACTTAAAAGAGATTACGTTTTGCCAAAGAAGAAGTGTTTAATCACCAAACTTTGATTCCTGAGAGTGTTTTTGACTTGTGAACACCTTGTCCTTGCTAGGAAATAGATTATGGTGACACAGTAATATCTAAATTCTGTTGTATTTAATCAAAGTAATGCCAATGATTTAAGAGTTCAGCTGGTGCACACTTATCTGCAATCCAACACATACTGAGAGCAACGAGCTGATGATTGATAAACGTTTTCTTCAGTTTAATCATAGAAGTTATTTACAAGGAATTTCTCAACAAGCCAACATGACCAAAGGCTGTAATGCACAGTGACCCTGCTTGTAAACACAGACTGACACGTCGCGGTAGGAATGCAGCTTAGGTGTTACTAATAACGCTGACGAATGATTTGTTCTGTTCTCTTCAAATGTTCCACTGAGTCATGACAGTAAAGCAGGTAAATCAAAGTCAGCCATTATTCACTTTATTATTTACATATTTGCTGTCCATCCACTGTGAGAAGAAAATGACAAGGGGCATTTTTTCAAATAAAAAGAGCCCAAAACAAAGTGTCAAGTAGAATTGATAAACTGTGGAAAGGTCTTGGGCAACACTTCATTTATTTATATTTTTTTGAGGAAATGGTAAAAAGGTGCAGTGTTTTATGGAAACATCTACAAACATACATGGAAATACAGTATATTAGACAAAAACAGAGTTTGCATAATTCTAACAAGCTTGAAAGTCAATATTTGGTTTGACCACCTTTATGCAGCCTTAACCTGAAGGCAACATTTCATGAAGTCATCTTCAGGAACGGTTCTCCAGACTTATTGAAGGACATTCAGTGCTCTGCTTTGAACGTTGGCTGTCTGTTGCTCTGTTCTCTGTTAAGATGATCCCACACTGCTTCAATAATGTTGAGGTCTGGGCTCTGGAGAGGCCGCTCCATCACTGCTAGTGTTCCAGTTACTGTTTTTCTATCCAGGTGTGCTTTCACTGCACTGGCAGTGGGTTTGGAATTATTTCATGCTGAAAAATGAAGCAGCTGCCAATCAGATCCCTTCCAGTTGGTATTGCATCATGGGTCAACATTGGACAATGCTGTTCTCTATTCATAATTCCATTAATTTTGACAACATCCCAAACACCACTGACTGAAATGGGGCCCTGAACCATGACAGAGCCTCCACCGTGTTTCACAAGATGGCTGTAGGCCATCACTGCTGTACCCCTCTCCTGACTTCCTCCATACATCCTGACAATGATTGGGTTAAAACAGAAATTTCAAATTATTTATTCATCTCTCCTTCAGACTTGTTTCCCCTGATTTTCTGGCCAGTTCTGTGTAATTTCTCATACCTCAACATTTATCACCGTTTCCTTTCCTTAAGAATAGTTTCCCGACAGATACACTTTCACCGAGAACATTTCTGATGAGCTTTCAGTGAACAGCAGAGGGATCAACTTCTTTAGTCCTCCACTTTTCCAGCTTTCCCAGATTGTTGAAAATTGTTGTTGTTGAAAAATCAGTCAAAGACAAAGTTTGAAAGACCTTCAGAAAGAAACTACCTGCTTGGAAGCAAAATATATATATATTTTAAAAAAAGCTGCTAGTGACTTTTGCACAGTTGTAGAGTTTACTGATAATTAAAATCATAAAAACAATTTTGATTCCCAAAGGTGGATCATTGTGGTTTGGGAGCAGTTTTATGATTTTTTAATGCCCAAGGAGGGAAATTAAGGATTTCAGCCCCTCCCATCCAACTAATCAATAAAAAATAATCTCCAAAGAGCATGTCACGCTTTTATTTCAGAGCATGATTCTACACAGTTTCTCTTCGCAGCTCATTAAACTAAAGATAAAAGTCAATTAAAACTGCATCCAGAGCAGTTTTCTTCTCTAGCAGGAAAACTCTTGAGCCTCATCTCCTATCAGTGTGTGTGTGAAGGCATGCTGACACGAGGATCTCAGTCATTATGGCGTGTTTGGGTTATGACAGGGTACTCACACGCCACATGAGGGTGAGGGTGTCTGAGAGCTATGCGGGGACACAGTATGTTATCTCCTGCTGACGTCTCAGGGCAGGGGCCGCTGGTGACAAGAAAACAGAGAGGGAAAAGGGGCGATATCCTTTCTTAAAAACAAACTTCACGCTGTAGATGCAGGGTTTTACACACCCACACAATTCCTTCCAAAATAAAAAGAAAGAAAGAAGGAAAGAATCCAAGCCTTGACTTCATAATGGGTGTCGCCTTTCCTGGATGATCACTGGAAATTTTCTTGTTTGTAAAAGCAAACATGCAAATAAACATAACTGCGTTGCTGTCTTCAAAGTTAAAAATGTATGATTCACTTTCACTGACGTGATGGAAAACAAAGATCTGAGATAATTATCTATTTGAATCATTACCGATTCTTCTCTGCTGCTCGTTAAAAGGTAACAGGAAACAAATGACACTATGGGAAGAAATGGTAATAAGCAAGACATTAAATAACAAGAAGCATGTAGAAGTAAAGTGAAATCAAGCAAAGGATGGTTAATGAGATCTTTTAAAGCTTTCTCTCAGATGTCCCAAGAGGGACTCAACAAGGCAGCAAAAACATAAAACAATATAATATATAAAGACTGAGAGGCCAAAATGGTAAATGTTGGCTCACTTTGTGTGTGTGATCTTTCCTTTAAATGCATTTCTCCATAATATTACAACAGTTTGCAATAAATAACTTACTCAGTGGCACTTTTTTCTCCAGATTTTCTGTGTCAAACAAATCGATATTTGTTGGCAGGAAGTGCAGAAAGTCCAAAAATCAAACACTTGTGAATATATATCAGGTGTGAACCAATTTAAACAGCACCGTCCACACTTGAGCGCTCAAAGACATTTTCTTTTAAAACAACATGAAACATTGCTGCAAATAAGAGTCTCTCTCTTCACAACTTGATCAGCTGTCATGTTGTATTATTCACCGTCACATGTGAGTTCCAGATGCTGCACAGCTGTAACAGAAATGAGGCTGAGAACAATAAACAGCAAACGGCGTGTTCCTGAGACTCCATTAGGGGCAGTTTGATAGAGCTCATTACGGCTCCTGTGGACAAACCGTGAACAGGTTTGGGAACAAACGAGTCCCATAAAATATAAAAGCTTATCCTGGTCCTCCCCCTAAACCCCACCCACTCCCTGCAGATTTCAGGATCACATCTGAGGGCAAAAACAGGCGTGGAAACACGTTTAAAAAGGTCAGAAAATACATAATCTTAAAACTAACACAATAGCCAGCTTGGTCCGCCTGCTGGCATCACCGAGCACAGCTGAAGGATCTGCTACTTGTCGTCTCCAACGTCGGTGCGTTTGTATTTCTCCTTAAACTCCGCGTGCTTCTGACGCAGGATTTCCGTTTGCTTCTTAAAACCATTGACCCTGAAAAATCGCAAATGAAACAGCATCAGAACAACAACATCAGAGAGAAGGATGGGGAAAAAGGAATCTGAAGCTCAGTTCACACACCTCGCCCTCTCTTTGGCTTCATTGTAAATTCCTATGATGATTCGGTCTTTCTCATCCATGAAGTTAGTGTGAACTTCTTCCAGTTTCCTGAAAGCATCAGAGGGAGGTAGACAATTCCCTTTTAGAGAGCTTAACCTAAGAACTCAGCAGCGCTCTTTATTTATGGGTTTGTACAGCTGTTAGAGGAGCTGCTCACATCACAAAGAAGTGAATCTCAACAAACACATGTGGCACCACGTCAGTGTGTGAAAGCAAACTCAAGGCCGCGAGTTGGGAGGTTGTGCCAACACACATGGCACTGAGACACGTCCGCAACATTCCTCATTCATCTGGATGTGAATGAGCAGCAAATAAAAGGACACAGTGTGGACAACGAAGGACAGGATGTGAGCAAGAGGAAGTTTACCAAATGCACACTTCTTTCTAATATTTACAGTTTAAATTTAAATACAAAATGGTATCGTGTGTGGGGTTTTTACTTGAAGAGGACGGCGTGGGCTCCTATGCTGAGCATCATAGCGACGACACAATATGCCACCAGGCGGAAGTTCCTCTTCCTCATCTTCTGCTTCTCCTCGGCCATCATCTCTGGAGTGTGAGGGTGATGAACCTGCTCCCAGTAACGGATGTTCTCATAGGCATCCATGCTGATAGGAAAGGCATGAGAAGATTGACTAGTGACATCAGAAACAACGCTCAATGTAATAAGCACTTGTTGTAATAACTAAAGTTGCTCATTTGATTTGCAGTTACACAAATCGTGTCTGAACTTCAAGAAACATTAAATGAAAATGACAAGTGATAGTCATAGTCTGTATATAAAGGATGGAGCTTCCAGAAGCTCCAGGACTGCAAAGTAAATCCAAAGCAGATTTATTTTTTTATGTCCACCAGGAGGGGATTCCTCTAGCTTCAAAAAGTCCAGATGTATAGACGTTTATGAGCAAATGACCCTACTGATCTCTCACTCGCTGACCTCAGTAAACAATTTCCTAATGAGTTTATGAGCTCAATCTCAAGTTCAAATTCTTGAATACAACACAAAGTTCATTGTCTAAAATACTGGATGCTGTGAAGATGATTTCTCAACCATGGAAATAATTCTGCAATTTATTTGTCTTCTGTGGTCAGTGGACTCATTCGTTTCATAAATGTAACAGATTGTTGATTTGGCCACTGCTAAAGTTTTTCCTTTCTTGCAGAGCTGTTTATTTCGTTTAACTAGCAACACAAGTTTATTTTTTACATCACGGTCTCCTTGGACCTCATAAAGAGAATTCCAGTGACCAGGTACTAAACATAATCTCAACACTGCAGATCTTTTATGTGCTTATTTAGTCCCTGAATAACAGGAGAAAAGGCCTCAGTTCCCCGAAACTGTGGGACTGTGGATAGAAATGTCTGTAATTCAAGTGTGACACAAGTGTAGTTGTAAGACATGCTTTTTTACGGCATTAAATATCGGGGCAATTGAAAGTAAATTCCATGTTGCAAAAGTTGTAAATCAGTTGGCGTATATGATTTAAACATTGTTGTCCCCATTTTTTGTGCCTTGAGAAAGGAACTCCCAGAAATAGATATGTAATAGCGTCAGTCACAAATTCTGTGTTTCTTTTCTAAATTTGTCCCTTGGTGCTTTAAGATGACCGCTGCTCTGGCCTGACATTATATAAAAAAAGGTGAATTTTTCAGATGTGCACTTCAACCTTTTCAGACATTGCCCGTCAGAGCTGTACATGAGAACATCAATGACGGTATCAGCTGTATCTGACATTAAACAGTCTTTACCCTGCATGCTCCTCAGTATAGTCTGTGTGACATCCTGTTGAGCCCATGAAAGAGAATTAATTGAACACATCTGATGCTGACAATCTCCTGTTTTACTGTTAGACATGTTAGAAACAACGAAGCCCCAAACACTGGGGTTCCTGTGTGAAATTTGCTGCTTTTAAAGATGACACACTGTTAATGTAAAGTTCATAAGCAGTAACACACTAATGGATGTGGGTGAATCCTCACCTGCCTCTGTAGCTGGGGTCAGTGGAGGCAGATCTGAAGACTTGAGCACCACCATACGGCTGTCGTATTTTGAAGTCGTACTCCTTCCTACTCAGATCTTTGCTCAGCACCCTGTAGGCCTCGTTCAGCTGCACAAACTGGCTGTGCAGTGCCGGGTTTGACGGGTCGCTGTCTGGATGTAGCTGCACAATAAAGGGGACAGAGTCAGCAGCAAATTCTCCTCATGAAGCATGAAAAAAGAAAAGATCTGGTGCAGGTCAAATATGCAATCATTAACAACCGAAAAATGTTCTTACTTTTTATGACAAATAGATTTTTGTTTTGCACTTTGAACCAAGCTTCTTTCTCACCCTTTAATGAGGCCAAAGCCACAAAGTAAACACACATACCCATCCTTATTTAAACTGGGAGCCATAGCTTGAAAACAAACAGTGAGGAAGCCCACTGTGGGAACAGCTAGCAAGAACAAAATGTGCTGTGCAAGGCTGCCCTCGTGTGGCCACATGTTTTATTTAAATCCAAATGGGAATGATACCTTTTTGGATTTGTCAAAAAAGGCATTTTTGATTTCCTCTAACGTGGCATCAGATTTGACTCCCAGGAGGTCGTAGTAGGTCGCAGCTTTTCTGCGGTGAGAAAGCAAAGAACTCAAAACCAAGCAGGCACTCAGACCTGTTCAAACACAGAGTACACAAACACAATCATCAAGGTGTTCTCAGCAACTCTGCCTAAAACCTAAAGGCACACATTCACTTTGTCTACCTTTGCGTATAGCTTTGGGAGAACAGCCGCAGTCCACTCTTGCAACACCAAAAACAACTCTGGCACAGACGTAGCTGAGCCTCCAACTGCATGATAGAAATTTTTGGCGGTTCCACACAAGGACCTGAGCAGAGAGGACAGATGAAA